ACGGCTGAAAGGGCGAGCATGTTTGGTGGGACCGGGCTTCGAACCCGCGACCCGCAGATTGCGAGTCGAGCGCCCTAACCACCTGGCCATGCCGGGCCTCCATACCTTGTGTAGAAGTTATTTTTACTGTTATATGAAGACAGACAGACAAAAACATATATAGCTGATAGTAAACTAAAATGACTAACCGTATGAGGTATAAATTCTTGATGAGTTTTCGTATATCCATAGGTTTGTTTACCGATAATTTTAAGGTTCTCGTAAATCTGATGGGTTCCCATGTCTGTCATAATAACCGATGGACTCATAAAAGTATCATCAAATTCAGTGCCTATACCAATTGAAAAAGTGCAAGAGCTAAAATTTCAAAACACAAATAAATATATTTATGGCTTGTATATAGTTTCAATTATAACATGTTCTATTCCTCCTCAAGGATAACAAATAAGATGTTAACTTTAAAATATCAGTAACACCTCAGTCTAATACTGATAGATATCCGTTACCGGATTTTACGGAGTTTAATCTGAAAAAGTTTAAGAAGAACATAACAGCAATAAGTAATGCACGTTTATCTATCTTTCTTTAAATACTTTAAAGAAACAAATCAAATATTACGTTAAAAATATCAAGAACACATCCGACAGTGAAATATTTCCATGATCAGCTTTTACTGCAAATTGAACACTTGAGAATAATCTAATACATTTAAAAGTTAAGCAATATAATAACATTTGTCCTACTTGAAGGAACAAAAACTTTTCTGTGTCTACCAAAGTAAATCGATTCATCACAACCCATAATTGTATAAACTGTAATTAAGTAGTTGAGAGGAAATATAGAAATATGATACGGTCAACAATTTGATTTGCAAGTATAGTGTTCAGGAAGAATGTTACTATCTTTACATATTGCTTATCTAAATGTGCTTAATTACTACTGAACAGAAATAGAAAATTTTATATTTATTGCAAAGCTACTAAGACTGTCTGTCGTTGTCCCTAATTTCAAACTACTGACAAGAGGAAATGTAGCTATTCAATAGTACACTACCATTCACACTGAGATTATCTTTCACTCTTATATAATACTTAGTTGTTTGACGTCAAGCACAAAACTACACAATGGGCTATCTGTGTGCTCTGCCCGCCACGGGTATCGAAACAGGTTTCTAGCGTTGCAAGTCTGCAGAGATACCGCTGTGCCACTGGTGGGTCTTATATAGAGCAGCAATACTTTAAAGTATAGGTAGTATTTGGAGTATCCTAAGGATTCGTACCTAATTCAGAGCTCTCCAACATTTTCAACACGTACCAACAGATTTGTTTGTAGTTAAGCATAAAGCTACACAATGGGCTATCTGTGCTCTGCCCACCACGGGTATCGAAACCCGGTTTCTAGCGTTGTAAGTCCGCAGACATACCGCTGTGGCACTGGGGAGGGGGCAAAATATTATATAGCTTCGAAAATTAAGGTTTGTTTGTTTGAAGTTAAGCACAAAGCTACACAATGAGCTATCTGTGCTCTGCCTACCACGGGTATTGAGACCCGGTTTCTACCGTTGTATGTCCGCAGACATACCGCTGTGGCACTGGGGGGGGGCGGTACCCACAGAAAATTAAAGTCGACATCTGCTGAAAGATATGATCTCTGGAAATAATATGAGATAAATACTCACTCTTTTGAAAATTCAGAAAGCTAAATTCATTGATTAGAATTGTAAGCATAAATCTTAAAATCATTGTTTTTTGTTTTTTTGCTAGCAACTATCCTTTTTATAAAGTATTTTCTAAGATTTCTTATCTTTTTAAATATTAGTTTTTTGTACAATTATAAATATAATATAGAATAAAAATCTGATTACAGGTTGAGATTCTGGAAAACAATACATACAAATTCAAAGATTAGCTTATTAACGTTAAGCGATTGGATAACGTAAGAATTTTAAAATATTGCGCCTTATAACTGAATCTGGAAAATTAAATTTCTTAGAATACACACTTGCGATTGTACTTCTGAAGGGAATCAAATCAGGACACTTTTCTTCAGTCTCAGTCTGGTCAACAATGGTTTTCAAATGATCGTTAGACCTAGAAATTTATATATATATTATGACTGAGCATGTTAAAATGCATATGTTAAATTAAGCGAAAATTAAAATGAGAAAAATAATATATTTGTTTGCAAAAATACATTATAAACCGCATTTATTGTGACTTGCTATATAGTCATTGAATGGGTTTAAAGGCAGGTTATGTTTCTGTATTTGTATAACTACTATTTCCATAATGCAGACGATTGAGGTTTAGTAAGAACATTAGAGTTGACAAAATCAAGAATAGGTTGTGTGCTCAAGGAAATCTTTACGAAATTTGATAAATATAGAATTAAAAACAAAGTTCCCCGTACTGGTCGATACTCAGAAAATGGCAAGGCGGAGTATGCTTATTACAGGTATTTACTTAATATTTAATGTGTATGCTCAGAATGAGATGGGTAGCCTTGGATACGCAACTTTTGCCTTTTTCATGCAGATCGGAGTACATGGGAGTATCTAGAATAAAATGATCTTATATCGACGTTTAATTCATGGCAAACAACGTCATGTTTATTTAGCCACCAAATGAATTTTCAGAAATAGCTTTTTATTGAAATAAGTTTAAAAAGTAAAAAAAAACAAAAATCATTCTCTACAAAAACTTAAGTTAGATACGGGGGTGAATACTACTTCCTTAAGATCACTATTTCAGAGTAGATTGTTCATGAAGAAGCAGGTCAAGTTCATGCTTAAAAAAATGTTAATGGCATATCCGGACATGTTTTTACTAGCAACTCAAACGGTAAGTTTGTTTAAGCTATATATTAAATTCGTAAACCGAGTTTTACTGCTTCGTAAATCCAGGCACATTCTACACGCAGTGGATTTTAAATATATTTCAAGTTGGGTATGGAATTTATAATCGTGCTTAGTAAAGAAGGTGCTGACAGAATAAGACTAGAGTCTCGTCCAAAAATTTTAACATAGGTTTGTGTGTTGACATTTCCAACGTCTGTTAATGAACTATTTTAACGCTATTTCTGGTTCATTTGAATCTTGTTCTGAATGACCAAAGAAAATTAACGCAAATATACTAGAACTTATTAAAGAGTCTAACTTATGAACAAATAACTTATAATAAAATCTTTATTTACCGACGTGAAATAGTTTAAGCTTTCAAAACGACTGATAAAAATATTTTATGGCGTAATTTTATGTTATTATTTTGTTATTTCATTCTAAGCTAAAATACTTTAGAAATCAGTCTTTACTGACGCACATTTCTATTTCATTTAGAAAGTATAAACCAATACTCCATGCTTTTCGTTATATAAAACAACAATTACCTCGTAGTAAAATGAGACATTACGACAATTTCTGTTTCCTAAGCGAAAAATAGAACGCAATGTTATTTCAATACAAAAAGACTAACATGAAATATTTGAGTTTTCTAAGTCTGAGTGAAAATTAACATCATATTTAACCAGGCATTTCAGATTGGAACCAATTACTTACTTTGGGCCATTACTTGAACCTAGTGTTACTCCTGCAAAAGAAAATATTAAATTATTAATTACAAAACATTGTGACATATTACTTACATATTACGTTCTAGTAGTTTACGTGGATGTAATATTCGGTTATAAAAAAAAAACAATAAAAGTTTTTCAAAGGTTGAGCACAAATAATTTTCTTCAAAAATCGACGAAGCTGCAGTATGACCAAAGAGTAATTTTCAAATTAATTCTAAAGACAAGTATACAAAATTAGTTTTATAACTTTTTACTTAATCAGACAAGCAACAGAGAAACTGTCTTTATTCAAATCATTCATTCAGTGTAGATTGGAAACGCTAGGTAGGATCAATTTATTTATATCGCCAAAGTGCAGCAAGTCACAAAATACAGAGGATATTATCTGCGAACGCATTGTGTTTATAACACAATGCGCTTACTTCTTTGTCTTTTCTAGAAAGTAACTAATTGTTACTACATGTCAATATTATAAAAACTCAGAATATACACTTTTATTGTTAAGACATGAACTATTTATATTTTCTCTCTTTTAAAAAGAAAAACTGAGTATATTAAGAAACAATGGAAACGCACATGAGTCACGGATAATTTTAATTCTGTTTAGAAGCACAACTGTTTGCGTGCAAAATGCTTATATATAATACACCAAACTGTGCTCATGAAATAATGTTTCGAAATCATAATTTTTGTCATATTTTTGGGGACTACGGATGTCTTAAAACAGGAAATAGTGCAATAAAGGTTTTTCATCTTTTATTGATGAGTAATGTACTCTAACAAAGCCCAAGGAACAGAAGAATATTAAATCTAAGTTGTTGGAAAAACATATTTATGGAATTAATATCATGAAAATACTTATTGACAACTTTAATGATATCTAAAATGCATAGAAGTATATTTTATAATACATTCTTATGATAAAAGCCTTGGACCAATATTAAAGACCCGATGATGATAATGGCCTAAAATAGCCAATTTTAGATTTTCGTGAAAATGTGTACAAGTATGGAAGTGTTTTGCCCTTTACTGTATTTTGAATTACAGGAAAGCAGGTTGGCCTTCCTAACGAGATTACATTCACAATTCAACACGGGACTTTATTAAAGTCTTATTTTCATAGGAACAAATAAATACCTATGCAAACAATCTCCTCTCTATTCATTTGCCAACAAGTTTCCTACATATCCGTCGCATCGTGTCAGCTACCTCAAACCCCCTTTGCCTAATAAATTTCGACTGACAATATATACAAGTGTAATACTGCTTCAGGGCAAGATATTGTTACACATCTCTATCTCCGACATGCTCCAGATAGGTTCTTTCTTTACTGGCAGCACTTTACAATGTGGTTCTCCGCACTACATATTATCCACTCTCTTGAAAATACTATATTATTTTGCTATTCTTGAAGCCTAATAAAGATCCTACTGATGTTAGTTCTTACTGCCCAATCAGCATCACTAGTGTTGTTGTTTAGTTGTTTTGTCAGTCAGTAATTTTCAACGCAGCCTTGTTACACGTGTGCACCGTTTTACTTCCAAACATCGACTTTAACATTCAACTAAACAGGTCTTGGACTTCTTATTTTTACAGAGGACTCGGGTTTTCTAATACTATCACCAATCTCTTCAAAAGAAACCAACCATCCCGTATACTAATTTTTTAAACTATTTGATTCAGTCTGGCAAAATGGTCTGCTCTAAAAACTTTCGATAGTACTAAGCTATGTAAGATTTATCAATTCATTTCTTCAAGGACGACGAGGTGTTTGTTTAGCAGAAGACATTCTTTCTAGATCCTTTAATATCCTAGTGGGTGTTCTATAGAGGTCACTACTCTCGCCATACTTAACATGCTGTAAGCAGCAGATATACATACCATAACCATCAAATAGTGATATTTTTTCAATATTCTGATGACAATGCTTTTGTTGCATCCTGTCCAACTATGAGCATTTTAGAAAAAAATCTCTATAGGCTAGTCATAAATCAGTTTCTCACATGGTCTCATCAATGTCCTTTATTCCTCATTGCTAACAAGCCCAAATGATTTTTATATTATCTCACTCAAAAGACATTTAGCCCATGCTAAACAAAAATCAAGATACCTAATTTCACTAGTGAATTGTATGATATTATCACCTTACAACCATTAGTCAAACATGTTTATCAGCTTTACATATGATATATCATTCGGGGTTTTAAAAAAGCAAAGTTTATTCCCGTCGATTTGTTCTACAAAAATATTCATTCTCCAAGGAAGCTTCTTCCATCAAGTGATCACCTTCTAAATCTGTACTTAATGTATTTTTCCATAATTGACCCTGATCATGGTGCAACACCAATAACTAATTTATCTTACTATATTTATCCAACTCAATAATTCAACAATATATGTGTGAACTATGCAGCCACACAACTTTGTATCTTACTATTTTTATTGGCACAGCGGTATGTCTGCGGACTTACAATGCTAGAAACCGGGTTTCGATACTCGTGGTGGGCAAAGCACAGATAGCCCATTGTGTAGCTTTGTGCTTAACTTCAAACAATAAAACAATAACTATTTTTATTTTTTAAGTATGATATTATCTATAAATCACTGCACAACTTCTGCCAATAATTTCTTAACCAATACTTAAAACACATGACCTACATATTAGATGATGAATATTTTTGCCGAATAGGGGGCATAATTCTCTACTGCCATGCCAATTCGTCTGAGGAAATGGAATGAAATAAGATTTAAAATATTTCCATTTGTTCTAGTCCAGGGTCATTTATGATGCGTGGAATTCTTCAAACTGATATAACTCAGTTACAAATGTTGAATTGAATGATAGATGGAGCTTCATATTTCTTTTTAGTAGTGGGAGGTGAGGTAAGATAGTCCTCTTTCGTAAAAACCGTCCATGTATATCATTAGTTACGACGTACGTTCTAACATCTAGAGTGAATTATATGTAACTATTATTCATGTGACCCTGAGCGTAAACTCAATTATGGACGAGCGCGAATGAGAATGATATAAGCGCGACTTTGATCTAAGGTGAGCACTTTGAATTTCTTATGATTTCAAACAATGAGGAATAATAAAATAGCCAAATATACCATATCAAAATCAGTTCAAGTTCACTGAGACTTTAAAAATGTGTTATTTCTTAGGATATTGTGGGCCTTCTTACACTACACTAGTGCCTAGGTATCCATGTTTAATGTTCACGTACTTTGCATTACTGTCTTAGGTAATGCACATGATGCATAGCCTTCCTGATCACTTGCCAATAGGATTTAATTGATTCAAATGCAGTTGCCAAATGCAGCATTTATTTTAAATTATTTCTTTATGAATTAGGTAGAGTCTATTTCAGTCCATTTTGGAGGTCCGTTTTATTTAACTTTGTTTTTAATATTAATAGTAGTCTTTGTATAATCGTTATCTTAACTAGAAACGTAGTTTATGAACAAAAGATCCCATACTAAAACCTTCTGCTTTTTTATGGGATTCTTCTTAATTAATTAAAACAGAATTCAAACCTAAGGTGGCCATCTTCCCACATTCAGATATTTTAAACAGCTTGCTTGCTGAATAATTCAGAAGAAAAATTAGTATTATCACTGTGGAGAGTAAAATACATTTCAAACTACTATAAATATTTTGTGTAATTAATTCTGAAATAGTTAAAAATAGAGTAATATATTTATTAAACACTCCAATAATATAAATAGGCTCTTGGTTATGGAGGAGGTACTGAAGTCATTATACTATATTATATTGCAAATAATTTGGTTTGAGTAGCAGGTTTGACGGTATTTTGTGATATCCATTTCAGCTTCTATATATTATTCTCAGATATCTAATAAGTCATTTGGAGACCCACATCATACACACTAATCTTGCCATAAAGTTCCACTCCTGAAGATTCACATCAACAACACACTGCTTCTATGGTGTTAGAAAGGGCAGGATGGAGGAGGAGGCTTAGGTATCATAGAACAATATAAGTACAACATAACCCACTGTCTTTTCACCAGAATGAGATTGGCAATATCAGCCACATATATGTTGACCAAGAGATGTTGTGTTATGGAAAACTGATAGGAAATCATTTTTTGACATCATATGCCATGATTCGTGATTCATTTGGAGGTAGCTCATTAGCAGAAGATTTTCATATCCTGATAGAACACAATACACCTAACTGTCAGTGTCTTAGCGATGTTTCTGAATTTACGGCCTTGCCTGTTTCAACATGGAGAAAAATGCGACTGTCCTTATGGTAAGAATTCTTAAGGTTAATGCTACCAACAAAATTTTAACCAGTGTAGACTAACAGGATTTGCTCTTCTCAACATTTGCACCCAATGTAAATACGAATCTCTACCATGAGTATGAATTTTGTAAAATTTTTGTTTTGTAAGCCCTTTATAGATTTAAATACTGCTTGAAACATCAGAAGTCCAAGCCATCAACATTTCAAGGACGTTTATGACTAAAGTCAGTTTGTGCTAGCGTGATCTAATTTATTGTTACGTATCATCCACCATATGTCGTTATTTACAAATTCGTTTTTCACCTACTTTGATGTTTTTGGAGATTAAGTATTCTACTGATTAAGAGTTCTTAATATGCTACAAATTATTTTTTTATATACACAGTATTTCTTACAATTATAAAATACCATCTCTAAAACAACGTTTATAAATCTGGTTATGAGATGTCAATTATACCTGATGCATACAATTCTCTTTAGGAACATATTGTAATTAACGTGGTGTGTACAATATTATTTTGGCTATTTTTTATGACACGTTCAAAATTATTTACAATCGTTGAAGCCACATTTGAATACTAGTTTATACTTTTGAAATGTGATGAGATCATTTTCGACTTTTTACGAAAGCTTTAAATTTTCTTGTTACTGCTTTAACATTGTCGGAAATAAAACTTTCGAATATGACAATTCTTGACAGGTTTACACTTTAATTATCATTGAACTTATTTATTGTTG